CCCTGTGTTATTGTTCTGTAAACAATTATAACTAGGCTGCACCAGTCTTTTGTTCCAAACCTGTCTCGCTATCAGTCCCTTGCCTTGGGCAGTTTTCTCTTTTGTCATTTAGCAGAGTCTACCTCTGTCCCATCACAAATGTTCCCATTCTCCATTCTTTCATCTCTCTTGTGCTTTATTTACAAATTACTAAATGTCTAATTTTTTTCCAGTCCTTACTAAAAGTTATTGCTCTGAAGCATTAACTCACTTTCTTCCATTCAGGTGTTGTCTGATCTGCTGTGGATTTCCTACCTTCCTTTGGGTCGGTCCCATTCGTCCACTATCCGATTCTAGGTGTGGTGGAGTGGAGATGGGGAAGGGCAGTGGGAAACCTTTCTGTAACCTCTAGTTTAGTTTGAAGATTTTGAATTTTGTGCTTGTAGTGTCCCATCTAATCCTCATTGGCCAAGTTAAGTAGGCTGTCATCTTTAGTTTTTCCTATGCCTTCCATTTCTCTAAAAATCTGCAACTTCTTCAACACAAAGCCTCCCTTAAGTGTTAGAAAACTGGTCAAATTTCATTACAGGATGTAGTTTTGTCATGTTAACAAGGCAATGGAAACTGAAACCATCGAGTGGAACCTGTTACTGTGTTAACTTGTACCTTGGCATAAAGTTGTTTGATCTCTGAGGCACTTGATTTCCTAAGCAAATGGATATGGTAACGAATCTTCCCTTTGAAATCTACTGGCATTATTTTTACCAAGTCTACTTGCATGGATTAATCAACTACTTTTAACTTTTTGAAACTAATTTCATATGTTCTCAAGAGGTAGAATTTCTTACTATCTGTTTATGTGAAATAAGTCGTCTTACTTTCTGAAGAAGGGCCCCAAACTGAATCATCAACTTTCCTGCTCCTCTGATGCTGCTTGGCCTGCTGTGTCCCGCCAGCTCCACACTGTGTTACCACCTTATTAAAAGTTTTGAAACAGTTATAAATTTCATTATTTAAGTATTTTTTGCAGTGAGCGTAAAATTATACATGAAGATAACAGAAATAGCTAATGGTATCTTCAGGCCATTTCAGTAATTAAAATATTTACATTTTACTTGATCAGCCTCAAGTCTGCTCACAATTGGTGAACATGAAACCATGGACGCTTGTCATAGAAACCCCTATGATTCAGTAATGTGCTTAAGGGAAGGAAATCTTCTGTCTTTATCTGGTCTGGCTGCATGTGACTCTAGACCCACAATGATGTATTTGTTGTGAAATGGCCTAGCAAGCTACTCAGTTCAAGGATAATTAATGATGAACAACAAATGCTGATCTTGCCAATGACACCAACGTCCCAAGAAAGAATAAATAAAAAAAGCCAAACCATCAGTGCTGATTAATCAGTGTAATGTGGTTGATGGACTACACATGGACTTCCAAAAGACAGTTGATAAAGTATCACATGACAGGATTGTCAGCAAAGTTCGAGTCTATTGAATAAAAGGGACAGTGGCAGAGTGAATAGCAGATTGGATGAGAGATAAGAGACAGAGGTTAGATGTGAATGGTTGTTTTCTGGGTTGGAGGAAGATGTCTTATGGCATTCAGTGTTAAGAACCTCCGCTTTTCTAGATATCTATTAATGACCTAGACAAGGGTGTACAGGGAACAACTTCAAAACTTGGGAGTACTGTGAATTGTGAGGAAGCTAGTGATAGACTCCATGAGGGTAGATACAACTAAGTGGAATGAGTGGACATGTGATAAATGAAATGTAATGAAGAATATGTAAAGTGATGCATTTTGTTAGGAATACCAAGAAGAGGAAAATGACTAAAGATAACAGCCTATTTAACTTGGCTAATAAGGCTTAGATGCGAGATTGCAAACACACAATTCAATATCTTCAAACTAAACTGGAGGTTACAGAAAGGTTTCTCACCGCCCACAGAATATCCCCTTTCCCCATCTCCCTTCCACCACATCCAAAATAGGATAGTGAACATGTGGGACAGACCCAAAAAAAGGCAGGAAATCCAAAGCAGGAAGAAAGTGAGTTAATATAAGTTAAAGGATACAATTTTAATGGAGGTCTAGGAGCACAGTGGCTAAGAGTGTATGTACATAAATCATTGATGCTATCAGAGTAGATTCAACCATAATTTAAAAAAGGGAATTGAAAAATAATCTGAAAAAAAATGTTTAAAGCTATGGTTAAAAAAAAAGGCAGGGGAGTAAACTAAGTGAGTTGCTCTTGCAAACAAGCAGCATGGACACAATGGGCCGAATGGCCTCCTCTGCTGTAACTATGCTATGTTTCCATTGACCTTGCCACTGCCTCTGGTTTTCTTGAGGCAGTCACTGTATTCAATCAGTCTCATTAATTCTCCTATTGCAGCCCCTTCCCCCCTTCCTCCTTTATGCAACATATGCTTCTAACCTCTTGATTTCTTCAGGATTGAAAATTGTTTACTTAACAATCTTCTTAAACATTTTGGCCTTATTCAAATCAAATTGGAAGGTCAAATGAAATATTTTATGTTTTGACAAGTATGTTTGTGCTTTACATTCAAGAAGATCTTGTAAATTTCATATCCTCAGAATGCCCCCAAAATGCTTCACAGCCATTGAAATACTTTTGATGTGTAATTGCTACTGTTAGGTGGGGAATTATAACAGCTAATATGCACATAGCAGTCTCCACAAACAGCAATGAGATAATTGATCTTTTTCAGGTGCCTTGGGATAAATATTGACCATGACAGCAGAAATCTCCCATGTTTTTCAAAATTCCATAGGAACTTATCTGTCCACTTAAACTTGCAAATCAAGCCTCAGTTTGACATCTCAGTTGAAAAATAGCACCTCCAACAATGTAGTGCTCCCTCAGTATAGCATGAAGTGTCAACCTGGATTATATGTGAAAGAAATTTCCTAATTTCACAACTTTGTAAAATAAACTTGCATAAAATATAAAACCTGAAACTTTCAAAATGTACAGAAACAAAGAAAAGGTGCCAAATAAATAGTTGCAATGCATCACCAGACTTTGTTATATTGTCTCTTTACTGTTCTCTGAGATAACATGACTTTAAATACGTGAATAATTCACATGTAATTCACTCAAACAAAGCAACTTTTTTCTACAAAATTCAGGCCCAGTCCTTGAAGAGTAACCAGAATTCAAAAACTTCCCTCAGTAACTCTATTTTCAGCTAAATTACTAACCATAGTTCACAGAAGAACTCTTGTCCCTAGGCAGACTACTTAACCCCTATGCTGAACCCAATGTTTAGAGAAGGCTTTTAAGCAATATTCAATTAACCCACAGTGACCCACAATACATTAAAGACGGTCAAATAAAGGTTACATAAGTTCATCCTAGAATTACTAATAAATACAGGCTGATTCTACTCCTGAGTGTTTTTATATTTTTAACCCACTAACTTTGGCAGGATCTTCTGGCCTTTGGAAGGTAGTTTGCTTCCAAATGCCAAAACTGTTTTGTACTTTGGGCAGTACTTGATATGGAATAGATCGTGTTTAGGTTCTTCTATGTGATAGCGTCCCTTGAGCAGTGGCAAAAGTTGGAAGTTTTAAGCTTTGCTGGTCAAAGATTGCCAACTTGTACCATAGACAGAAATCCTCAGCTGCAATGAGCACAATCACAATTATAAGCTTCCTTTTAAATCCATATCTCCTAATATTAGAAAAACCATCTCATTGTCCACCGTATAAAGGAAATTGATTCCTTTAATATGGTGTACTGAGTAGAATAATATAACTATATTAAATTAATATGTCTTGAAAGTAAAAAGAATGTAAAATATAACAAGACAGTAATTTTTTCTGTTGGCCTATATTCTAACAATTTGACAGATTTGGGAGGACTACAAGACATTTTTAAACTATGCAAAAGTAGAAATAGACTGGATGTTTGGCAATTCTTTGTTTTGTAAATCCCCTGGATTGCTTTACTAGCTGATATGGGTTATGACTATCTGTGCACCTTCAAAGGGAAGCTGGTCAAGCTCTTGATTGGGATAAAGAACAAATTATATAGAGATAGGTGGGTTAACAGATAAAACCTTGTGTGATTTCCTGAAGTGCTCTTGATTGTATAAGAGGATTGGAGAGGAATTTTCTAGAGCATTCGTCCTTAATTTTTCCTTTCTTTTGCATCTCGCTGGGAATGATGTTGCTAGGTAGGAAATGAGAGACACAGATGCTGAAAATATCTACTTATAAGGTGCCAGGTATCATGGTGTGGAACTGAGATAACAAAGTGTGGATCTAGAGGAACACAGAATTCTTTTCTGAAGAAGCCAATTGGCTAAGTTACATAGTGTTGAAGAAAGGACAGTGCAACAACTAATTATGTTTGCTGTAACAGACTGTGGGAATCACATGATTATTGCTGACGTGTTGTCAGAGTGACACTTTTCAGTTTTGCTCATTGCAATACATATGAACATGGGGAATGACAGTTAGGAAAGAGCTGGCTGGTCCACAAGGTCAATTGCACACCATGAGAAACGTCAGCTTTCCTGTTCCTCTGTTGCTGCCTGGCTTAGTATGTTCTTCCAGATCCACACTGTGTTATCTCTGACTCCAGCATCTGCAGGTCTTGCTATCTCATGGTGTGGAATTGATCTCCAAGACATTTGCCAACCTGATTTGGAATTATTTTGATGTTCCTTTGTTGCTGCTGGTTTGAAATCTTGGAACTTTGTCCATATAGCACTTCACCAACACGACATAGACTACAGTGGTTCAAGAAGGCACCAGCTTTTCAAAGACAGTTTAGGATGGGCAATAACTATTGTCCTTGACAGTGATGTTCACAACCCAAGAATGAATTTAAAAATAACAGGTGTATCTAAGTTAGTACCTGCTTCAAATTATATTGGCAATACAGATGCTGCTTTGAGACCAGCTGTGCTTAGTAACTAGTGTGTATCATGGGTTTGTGGAATATCTGTGAAAAAAAGACAGGAATACTCAGTTGTTTTGATGCATTAACTGGGCATGCTATTTTTTTATTGTGCATCACAGGCAGCTTTAAACCAGCTAAAATTCACATCCATTGACATGATGAATAAATGATGAATAATAAATAAAACAGTTCAGGAATGTGGATATCTTTTCTTCTACACATTTTTTGATGTGTGCCGCGATGTGTTCCGAAGTGGCTAGGGATCTGAACTAATATTGGTTGCTTAGTCCCCTGTTAATTTGAACAATTCAAGTTAAGTAGACAACAGTCAAACTTCTTGTTTAAACAGGTTAAAGGGTGGTTTATTACAACCCATTACCGAGTTTTCCCTCTAAACAGAGAGAAGATATTTTCAATGAAAAATTACAAACATGAAGATTAGAACAAATATTGGTAAGATGAAAGGATACCTAAGTGTAGCAAGCCCCAAAATCTCTTTCTGGTGTACCATTGAATCCCATTGCTTGAGTTCCTTGTTACTGAAGCAAAAACTTAACACTTGAGGTATGATTCTGTAGCTGCAATGGCTTCTGTAGTTGAATAGGTAGCGTTTTCCTGAACAGGTAAGCTCTGTGGGGCAGTGGATTTTAGGACACAGAGAAGGATCCTTGTTATTTAGTAGTTATGTGGTTTTGATATTTTCACACTGCCTGACTTTCTTTCAGCAGAAAGATATTTGTTTTACTTTTCACTATGTTCTCCCTTCATGAAAACTCCCGCTGAGGGGTGTTCTCAATGCTTCCTTCTTGGTGTTCTGCACATTTGGCTGTTCTTCGCCAGATTTTTTAATATGGTTCAAAGTTCAAAGTAGTGATATGTTAATTCCAAGGAATCACGTGTTCCACAAAGCAAAGAAGTCATTTATGAGTTCCTTTGAAATTCTTCCTCTTGTATATTATATACATATTAATCAATTAAAACCTTCTAACTGATTAAATATTTAATAGCATCTTAGGTTTGTTTAATACATCCTCATCAGTTATAAGTTATCCTTTGATCTTTAACTTATAAATTCTGTGTTTGATACCAGCTCTCTCACTAACACCTGAAGAAGGAATGAGACTTCGAAAGCTTGTGTTTTCAAATAAACCTGTTGGACTATAACCTGGTGTTATGTGATTTCTGACTGTATCCACCCGAGTCCAATACCAGCGCCTCCACATCTTGTATGCCGTTATCTTTAAAGCTCGAATTCACACACCTTTATTGTCTGTTGGAAACTTCTGGTATTTTAAGACTCTTTACATATCTGGGTACATCTGTCTGTAATGCATTTAGAGGCAGCAGCTGTATAGTCAAGTGACTTGTAGCAGCCTTTTTTTTAAACTTCTTGTCTCCAGTTAAAGTCAGATTAGCCTTTTACAAAAATCTATAATGTCATAACTCCTTTCTTCATTGCAATGTGTGTCACCAGACTTTATTGACATGATTTTCTTCGCTGTAGGCTACTGCCTGTTTTATTGGAGGTTGACTTCCTTTGCAAGGCCAAGTACAATTCACAATGAATAAACAGCAATAAGTATTGAGTAGCTTTGACTGCTAATTCTTGTATATGCCTTTATCTTGGTGGAAAAGAATTTGAAGGACTTTGGCAACAGAAATTTGAATTGTTGCTTGAGTTCATTTGATTTTTCTTGGTTCTAATAAATTACAACGATCAATCTTTGTTACCTGCAACTTTCTATTGAGGTTAACAATGCTGTTTTTAAAATGAACATGTGTAATATGTGCAACTTACTTTGTTTAGTCTTACTTAGATTCAGTCTTATTACTCAGTACTTTCCTTCAGTGCATGTCCATCATTTGTGCTCATTCATATTGTACATTGATACTGGGCAGTGGCTCCTGTTGAGCCTTGATCTCTAGCAAATCAGAGGCAAATGTACTGTAGAGATCAGAGATTCTTGTTGACTGTCAAATCTTCAGCTTTAAAGCAGGAAACTCATTTATCTCCAAAATGCAGCCACAAAGGCCAAGACATTAGAGGTTTGTTTCAGTTATTGAGTCTTGTTAAACTACTTTGTGGCCTTCTTCCTCCATTCACTTGAGCCTCAGACTCTTCACCTTTCTCGTATCCACAGGCAACCCACATTCTCCTGTTATCTTGGAGGCCATGTCACTCCGTTTCTCCCATCATGACGATAGGCCTAATAAGCAGAAAGAGAGAAAGATCAAGACAAACTAAGAAAAATGCAGAAAAAGAATGGAAGACAGATGGACAGACAATGACAAAGCTACCATTTAAAATATATTTGTCCAGAAGCATGTCATGTAAGATAACTAGATTTTCAAATTGTTGCATGTACTGGAGGTTGAAGTTATGTGGTAGCAATGCATCATTATCGCACATCTATAGCTACTTTCAGAGTCAGTTTATATCTATTAACCTTGATCTGGTCCAGTAGTTCTGGCACCCTGTCAGGAACGTGACAGGAGCAATGACAAGATGTCAGACACTGTCTCAAGCTGCCATGTACAACATAAATACACCCCTCCTCCATTTTCCTGACATTTTGCCCGAGAGCAAAACCATAGCAAGCTGTTTTGTTAAAATGTTAAAAATAATACTGGTTCATGAACATTTTCAAGTATTTATTTTTGAGTCAAAACAAATCTGCCTTTGATACTGGCCTCTTTGATTTTGTTACCATACTGAATGCTCGAATTACAAAATTTGGTGCAATTTATATATTTTGAGCCGTATGGCTTTGGGTTTAAGTCAAGCATCAAATCTAGGCCAATAGTTCAGCAGTGTACTTAAGGAATATCTTTCTCACTACAATAGTGACTAAAGCATTGCTGGAAACGGGACAACAATTTCTACTGCATAAGAAAAGGGTGCTGGTTAATTAGCAAGTCCGTTCTGATTGTTCAAAGTATTGCCATGCAAAATGTACCCAAAAAGCATTGTCCCCTCGACTTTTGTTGAATGTGTAATGCCCAGACTTGTTCCTTTCGCCTGCAGAGAACAGATTCCAACAAATGAATTTATGTAGCTGCTAACAAGTGTAACTGATACATGTTGTAACCTGACTGAATTCCCTAAATCGGTTATTACTTTTAGCACACATGAGATTATTAAGTTAGTGCTACGCTATCACAAAATCAAATGTTAGACATCTTGAGGTTTGCAAGCACATACTGGTTGATAATGACCAGTACGTTGCCTGTTGTGGATGGGTATCAGAAACGGAAAGGTTTTTGGCAGCAAGAGTAGGGCTTCAGGGGCTTTCATTGGACTTCCCCTTTTTAATGTTGGGTCCCCAATCAGGCACTGACTATCTTTGATACCCCTGGAGCCCTGTAAACAAACATGTTTGGGTTTGCTTTTCAAGCTTTCCACATGGTAACTGTACCCCAGCCCCTCCTCCACCCATCACTGTCGAGTACAACAGTGGGGTAAAGCCTTAGATGGGCATTACCTAAGGACCTCAGTTAATGCAGGGAGAAAGGCTGAATGTGTGAATATACAAATTAGGGGGAAGAAAAGTCCATTCAGCACCTTGATCCTGTTCCATCATTCAATAAATCATGGCTGATCTGTTTAAGTTTAGAATTCTACATTCCCATCCACAGCCAATATCCTTAGGTTCTTGTTAGGCAGTGGAATCAATCTACCTCCACCTTAAAAATATTCAATGACCCCAACTCCACCACGTGACGCAGAAAGCACCAAATTTACACAACTCTGAGAAAAAAGATTTCTCTCCATCTCTGTCCCAAAAGAGTGACCCCTAATTTTTAAACCACAAGAGGAAATGTCTTTTCCACATCCACTTTGTCAAGACTCTTGAGGATCTTATTCACTTCAATCAAGTCAGTACTCTCTTCTAAACTCCAGCAGAAACAAGCCCTGCCTTTCCAACCTATCCTCATAAGACAACCCGCTCATTCCACCTATCGTTCTAGACCTCCCATGAACCAGCTTTAACTCATTTCCATCCTTCCTTAAATAAGGAAACCAAAACTGCACACAGTATTTGAGATGTGGTCTCACCAATAACTTGTATAACTGAAGTATCAACATCCTTAAATTTATGTTCAATTCCTCTCCTGTTAAAGGATGACATTCCATTAAGTTTCTTTAAAACTGTATGTTTTCCTGCCCAGGACTTAAATCAGAGCAGAGGCAAGAAGGTGGCTGGTTCCCCACCTACCACCCTGCATCCAATTAAATATCCCCCAACAAATTTGACTTGGAGAGGACAGTAAATTCTGCCCATAGTACAAATGAAGTATAGTTGGGCAGGAGCACATTGGCAGCCAACTTTACATCCCACTTGATTAGAAAAGAAAACTGTTACATCTTCTCTTGTTTTAGGCTACAGTTCAATTTTCATTGATCCACCTGTGCTGATCCCTGCTGGTCAATGTGGTTATGTGACTACTGTAAATAGACAAGGCTGAGCTGTGGTGCCCCCATGGGTGAATAGCACACTGATATTCATTGTTGACGTTAAATGAGGAGTGAGCATGATGAATGCATCATAAAATAGTAACCATTGAAAGAGACCATTCAATACATCATGCCTGTGCCAACCCCTCAAAAACAGTTATCCCAATTAGTCCCACTTTCCTACCCTTCTCCAAATTGCTTACTAGAATTTATCCAATTCATTTTCATTTGTTAGTATTGATTCTGCTTTCCCCACCCCTTCAGACATTACATTCAGATCTTAATTTTTGTTACATAAACACAATTCTCCTCTGAATTGAATAAGTATCGTTGACCACTTTTAAGCCATCTACTCAAGAATTTTAGTGAAGTCTAAAATCCAAATTACAGTTAATTAAAAAGAAAAATGCAAGCATTTGTAAAAAAGCATTATTATGTCTCTCAGATTGTCTCAGAGTGCTTCACAGACAACAAATTACTTTGATGCACAGTCACTGTTGCTATGCAACCTTACATTATGGAGATTTACCTAAATTATTGGATAGTCATATAGCAGATTGCCAAATATTCCTTTCACAACAAACAATACCTTTAATAAAGCCAAGAATTATGTTCCTCTGAAACATCAACAATGATGTCTGTGGGTACACTCAGGTCTAAATGGAATAGATTTGTTTCATCCGTTTGTTTTGGACCATGAGTCCCATTTGTAGGCACAAGGCTGAAGATCATGATTCTCAAATGCAGTTAAAATTGCTATTTAGTTTTTCAGAACAGATCATTTTAAGCAGATTTCAATGGATCTTTAAGTGGAAGGTTTGTGTTTCGAGGGGGTTGCAAGTCACCCCATTATACTGAATGCATGATGTATTTTCGATGGGTAAAGTAAGGGTTTAACCTTGAATAACAGATGGAAATCAGAGTATGTCTTATAACTGCATGTAGATAAATCACTTTACAATAATTATACAAATTATAAGAGACCACCAGGAGACTGGGAATTGATAGACTCAGAGGATTTAACCACAACTACAACTTACATTAAAATGGGCATACAACAGATGGCTTGCCTGTCCAAGCTTCCTGAAGTCTTTGTGACTCATTTAGATGTCTGTCATAATTTCCCATGAGCCACATACAAAGTTTAAGTGATAATTTACATTAATTTTCTTATGTCTTTAATTGCTAATACTTAGAGCATCTTGATATTCTGATTAGGAGTTAATCCATCAATGACATGACAATGCTGAGAACAACCCTTTCCAAACCGCCAAGACATTCAAACTGAACAATTTGACTAGTAAGAAATAAAGGTGCAAGTAGAACTTCTGGTGCCAAGTATAAGTAACTCATTTTGTCCTGTTCCTTACATAGTTTGAAGCAGTCTATACTTCTATAATGCAAGATGTATCTAAACAGCATGAAATTAGACCCCTGTTGTGCTTTTCCAGGTTTGGAATTAAATGACCCACCTTACAGAAATCACTATTATCTAGACATTGTTTCAACTCTGTCCTCAGGTTTTTCTTCGATACATAAGATTATTTTGAATAATTTTCAAGGAGGTAACGAAGGTGATCGATGAGGGTAGAGCAGTGGATGTTGTTCACATGGATTTTAGTAAGGCTTTCGGCAAGGTCCCTCCTGGTAAGCTCATCCAGAAGATTAAGATGCATGGGATCCACGGTGACTTGGCTGCGTGGATTCAGAATCGGCTTGTCCATAGAAGACAGAGGGTAGTGGTGAAAGGGTGTTTTTCAGGTAGGAGGTCCATGACTAGTGGTGTTCTACAGGGATCCACATGGGACCTCTGCTGTTTGTGATGTATATAAATGACTTGGGTGAAAATGTAGATGGGTGGGTTAGTAACTTTACAGATAGTACAAAAGTCAGTGGAGTTGTGGACAGTGTAGAAGGTTGTCAAAGGATACAGCGGGATATAGATCAGTTGCAGATATGGGCGGAGAAATGACAGATGGAGTTTAATTCGGATAAGTGTGAGGTGCTGCATTTTGAGCAATCAAATGTTAAGGAAAAGAATGCAGTTAACGGGAGGACTCTGAACAGCATTGAGGTACAGAAGGATCTCGGGGTTCAAGTTCATAGCTCCCTGAAAATGGCCATGCAGTTAGATAGAGGGGTAAAGAAGGCATATGGCATGCTTACTTTTACTGGTTGGGAATTGAATTCAAGAGTCAGGATGTCGTGTTGCAGCTTTATAAGACTTTAGTTAGGCCACACTTAGAGTATTGTTTTCAATTCTGGTCGCCACATGACAGGAAGGATGTGGAGGCTTTGGAGAGGGTGCAGAAGAGGTTTACCAGGATGCTGCCTGGATTAGAGAGTATGAACTGTAAGGAGAGGCTAGAAAAACTTGGGTTGTTTTCTCTTGAGCGGCAGAGGCTGAGGAGAGATTTGATAAAAGTCCATAAAATTATGAAATGCTTAAATAAGGTTGACAGTCAGAATCTTTTTCCCAGACTTTAAATATCTAATACTAGGAGGCATGCATTTAAGGTTAGAGGGGGAAAGTTCAAAGGAGACGTGAGGGGCAAGTTTTTTACACAGAGAGTCGCAGGAGTTTGGAATGCACTGCCACGGATGGTGGTGGAGGCAGATACAATAAGGGCATTTAAGGGACTTTTAGATGAGCACATGAATATGCAAAGAATGGAGGGATATAGACCAAGTGCAGGCAGAAGGGATTAGTTTAATTTGGCATCGTGTTTGGCACAACATCATGGGCCAAAGGACCCATTCCTGTGCTGTTCTGTGTTCTAATAATCACATCTGCCAGACATTCCTTTCCTTTTTGCACATCTGACAATGGATGATAATTTTCACATTTATGTTGTGTATTAAATTAATAAAGATTTTAAACTAAAATTCCTCTATGACGCTATCCCACAGCCAGAAATTAAAGACATTTTATACTCTTATTTTAAACTGGTATTTAAATTCTAATGATCTAATCAAAATAACACAGTCAATAGAACAAATGATGTGGAAGAAATAGGTCAGAAATTGATATGCTGAACTAATGTGTCAATGCGCAATTATAGTTGTGAGAAAATAGCGCATTTTAGTAATACACTGAAACAATATGAGGTCTTTTATTTTTGAATAGAACTGCACAGATTAGCTCATTTGGAACAACAGTAGGGAAAACTGCAAAATACAAAAGGTTTCTCAGTATCTGTGGCAGAATAGCCTGCCACTGAAGCAGACTTATTCTCATCTTTGTAGAATTAAAGGAAGATCAAAAAGGAAGCACCAAGGAAAAGTGAGGAGATAATGAACAAACTTTAGAAGGAAGCATAAGTAAACTGATATTCGATGATGGATCAGATCATCTCGATTACAAAATGGAAAGAAGTGTGGAAGAGTCTGAAAAGAAACATGAAGTAGTTAAGGCTATGGGAGAATTTAAAAGGGAAGGAAAATTGTGAGTTAGAAAACCCAGGGTTCGTGTTTGATATTAAGTAACAAAGTACAATAGGTTCAGCAGCTTGGAAGAAAGAAGGAACAGCTCAAGTGGGGGAGTCCAAAATGTACCTCTGCTAGTGCTGTATTCTATAAAAGGATTACCCACAGTTTCTCATGTCACAGCTGGGAATAACATGAATACATATAGCCTTACACTAATTTGAAAAATTGGTAAATATCCATAAAATTGAATATTTATAAGTGGAAGAGAATGCGCAGAATGTTGCTTCCACCAGGCTTCTCCTTCTGATCAGAATCTAACCCTAACCCTAATCCTTGCGCTGGGAATTCTACTTTGGCATTGATGTTACAGATGTTTAGCTGCCTTGGAAATATTCTATGATTTTTATGTGTGTACAAGAGAAAGTGGCGCTTTACATCAGTTGCAGTTTTCACCTATCGTAATTTAGAGTAGCCAGATCTAGAACTACTTGTAAATATTGCCATAGGAGGTATTTTAATTTAAAACATGTCTTTTGCTTTCTTTCTCTACTCAATAATACACATAAGGCTGAACTTCACCAAAAATTGGCCAAATGCTAATTTCAGGGAGCTTTGTGGAGTGTTTCTATCATGAGCTGCAGCATATTACCTCGCACATTTCTCTGCAGCTCATCTCACTATTTGGGCACCATTCCTCTCTGGTGCTTCGCTTAGGCTATTGTGTACTCATCAATGGCATAAGTGCTCATCACTGCCATCGCCTCCTGGGATTCTCATATCGAAAGCCCAGGTACACACCAGTTCAAGCTTGCCAGCCAGACGCTGCCCTTCACAGTGCACGTAGCAGGAGGGAAACAAAAAAAGAAAGGTGTCTATAGGCACACCGGTGGCATGAGTGAGACTTCATTGAAAATACAGCCTCATATTTGTAAATGTATCGCTACTATACATCATCACCTGTCTGATCAACTGTCATAATGATTTGCTGATACAAGCTACGCAGGCTACTAGTCCTTAGTGTCACATCATGTTAGAACCCTGTGTCAGGGAATTTAACGGTTTTCTTTGTATCCAGCAAAACACACCAACTTCTCATTGTTCAATATGGGAGCATCACATACATGAAAGTTTTTCAAAAGTATGAAACATTTAACAAAATCTGGCGGTTACCTATCAATCAGCATTCATGGGTGCATTCTCCATGGCAACGTTTCTACCAATCATAGTCTGCTAACGAATCAATCAGCACGCTTCTCGCCTTCAATTTGTTTCCCCTTCAATTTGTATTTATTGCAAAATGTCCTGATGAGTGCAAGATGAAAGCTTTGACTCTTTCTTTTAACAGTGCTAAGGTTAACTTTTATTGCACAACAACAAAAGAAAAGAAAAACAAACAAAAATTTTGCATTTGCTTCTGGTAATGAATAACGGCTGCATGACTTTTGGGCAATAACAAATTTATAGTCATTGAATGATCACCACATTAATGATGTGGTTCTCTAAATGGAGCATGTATACAGTCTATAGTGCCCTGCACCTAGGTGAAGCCAGCTGCATGCTGCCTGGGCTGAGCATTGACCTTATCACAGGGAAACAAGATGAATTGGCATTTTCTGGCACAAATTGCTGTTAGTAACAGTCTTGATACATCTGTGTGTAGAGGAATGAAAAATCCTACACAGGTCCCCAGTGCATCTTTGGATGCAGCCAATCGCATAAAAATGTAACATAGCTGTCATCTTAACGAGTGCTGGGATTGGATGGCCACTCATCTTCTCAGTTCACAAGTTCCTGCTCCAGCAGTTGAGACAGTTCTGTGACAGTGTCCTGGGACATTCTCAGTCTGTAGAGTACTATGATTACAGATGTCTTCAACCAGTACCATGAAAGTGGCTGATTAATGCAATTGCTGCTCGATGAGCCTCACATCGCCATCAGATAGAGCCTGTATGCTCAGACAGGAAAACAAATGCTAACTCTGCTCACTACAGGTGTGGTTGCAGCCATTTTCCATTTCCATTGCACATTTGGATTTGGATGAGGATGGAAGATGCTTGGCAGGTTGCATTTGGCACAGTGAGTTATGCGCTCAGTCAGATAATCAAAATACCTCCAGCCCTCAAAACCTCTATATCCTTTTCTTCTTTAGACTGCCTGTTGAGCCCATAGTTCCCTCAGAGCTCTTTCATTTGAGTTTCCATCCCCCACAGCTTAACCATGTCAATATTGTACCGCACTGTCCTCCTCTCAAAGCCAGAGTGATTGTTATCATCAATGGCTTCCCCTCCTGAATTAGCCCATGTTTTCCAATGCATTATCATCTCTGACCCTTATGTGTTGAGTTGCCTCTCCCCACACTGTTACAATTATTGTACCCTCTACCTCCAATGCCCACAATTGATTTCCCCAGCTTTCCTATCACTGCAGTGGCCCCTGATAATATCCCTTGACTTTCATTGAGTAGACATCAAGGATTGTCTGTGGCCCACCCCCAGGACAGCCTCAGTGGATGAGTAACCCGGTCCCTAACTGATGTTTGTAGTTTCCTGACTGACTTATTGCAAATCCCCACATTTGTTGAACTGGACCTGCGTGACTGACTATGGCCGACTCATTAGACTGCAGTGATAAGCAACCCCTGATTCTGACTGCCTGGACTAAGATCAGACACTGATCTTGGCTGACTGCAGTCACCCTTGACTTGATTGAGGTCTACTCCCCTGGGACATGTCCACTTGGTTGAAGCACATTCTGTTTGTTTACTATGTAAGCTGCTGGCATATGTTGTACATGAGACATTGACGTAGTTTGGTGCTGTATGGCAACATGTCCATCCCTCTTGACTGATCAGTGCTGACAACCATGACAAGCTGTCTGGCTTTGCGTCTCCCTTAAATGGCAAGGCAAACTGAAGTTCTGTGTGCCTTTAAGTTCTGAATGAGGCGGCAATGCACAAAAAGGCAAGGCATGCCATGATGCTGTGACCATGATATTGTGTTGAGTAGCATGGAACTATGGTGTTCTATTTCTGTGTGGCACTTTGGAATCTTTGCTTTCATTCAGATCAGTAATGCCAATCCTGACCCATCACAGCATTTCAGCTTTTTGACTTGATTATGAAACAGTGAAATGCACATATAACCCCAGAACTCTATATAGCTGCAGCATAATCTCCAGACTTTTATATTCCCCTTCTTTGAGATGAAGATTAACATTTAATTTTTAATAATTTTTAATTTTCGTGATTTCTGTGTACTGTCATGGCAATGGATCATTACTACAGATTAATTAAGGACATAGTGAACATTTAAATGCAACAAGTAATTTTTAAAAGAGGACATACAGCCAAAATATGACTGTATTTTGTACATTTTGAAAATGTAAATTCAGTGGCTCTCTGTCAAAGCCCTGTGTTGATCATACTTAGTCCTGAAAAGAACCATGGAATATCATATCAGAAGATGCCAAGGGAACATCAAACAGAAAAACCTTCAAAGAAATAGACACAATTCAAACCAAACCGGACTGTGATCTCCTGTTGCTCATGAAAGCTTTGGAAACTCGTGGCAAAGAGTATTTTCCATTTTAATTTATTTTGTTTGAAGATTTCTGGTGTAACAGTGTGTTGCTCTTACTTAATTTCATTTTGATATACCTGATGCATGCAATAATTTGTGATGACTCTGAAAAATACTACAAGAGTGTTTTACTCGCTAATGTGCTAACACGATCTCTCAATCAATTCATAATGTAATATTCTACTAGCAGAGAAATGATTGCATAATTTAATCAATACTCTCCATGGTACTAGCGTAATGAATATCATATGTATCTACAACTGCTGCAAAATGGATTTTTGTATATGACAATGAAAAAAAATCCAGTTCTTCGGAATGTGACATACTTCTACTTTTGTATGTAGTGACAGCAGCCAATAACCCGAATCAGCTGGCAAAATGATCAGTTTCACAAACTGTTAGAATCAGGATTAGGATTAGTTTGTGAGTTGGGTTTAGGGTAGGTTTAGAGTACAATTAGGGTGTTAGGTTTAATGTCATGTTAGGGTTCTTGCTCAGTGCAGCTGTTTTTGATCAACAGACTGAAAACTTTATAAAAATTCATTGCATCCAATTTTTAGGTCCCAATGACATAACATCCTCAAAATACCAGTAGTGTCACTGTGATTTCTGAATAATCATGACTGGATGTGAACCCCGCCCCACTGCCTCACAACTCTGCAGCACTCGTCACCACATTGAAAATATCACACACTGCATTAATGCACAGAGTGATATGAAAGCACTGATGACAGACCACTGTTTATCTTTATCTTTCTATCAAGGGCTCCATTCACAAATGTCATTTCTCAATGCTGAAGAGCAATAACCCCATGAAAAGCAGCAGACAGCAAGTCTTTAGCAATGAATGTGAACATTACAGGATATTGATTGTAAAGAGTACAAAAAGTGGCTGGTTGAGATATAAGGCAGTAATTGAATCTCAGGTTTCTGATGACATTGAAAATCACTCTCAAGGTTCATAACAGCATATCAGTTCTTCAGATCAATCCATTATATCTAGCAGCCAGCTATTTATTAGCCTGTATATCAATTACCTAACCTTCCCTATCAGGTTACTACCTTGTAATTATCTCTCTTTTATATATATATATGTACTATATGTAAAGCCAGTCCATGAGCTAAATTTAAAGATTGTGATGTAGAACTGGTGGCAACACTGCTAGGACTATTTCCAGAAACTCCTTTGAGAACCCTTGACTCAATAAGCATCTGAACTCACCTCCTGACAAGAAAGCCATTCTTGACACTTTCATCCCTGGATTTGATTGGGATTTGGAGGCAGGGTGGTTGGGGGGGTGGGGGGGGTGAATTGGGAAAGTGATGGGGTCTCCATCCTACACCTATCTGTCTCATTATGGCATCCCCACAACTGTGCTCTCCTACTCAACCCATGAGAAAGTATCAAACCATGCCATACGACTGTTAACTGCAATTTATTCATCAAAGTTTTCCTTGATTATTTTCAAGACACAGTGTTGGGTCTGATTCTGAATTATTGTCATAGTTGACTTGCTATTTAGACTAAATATAATCTCTGACTATGAGTCATGGATGCTGGAATATCAGAGCACTGGAAAAAGTAAAGTGACATACAAACATACCGAAACAGGAGCAGAGGTAGATCACAGGCATTTGTTTTACATTAGGATCAAGTCATAGTGAATATTGTAAACAATGTGTCAAGAAGAACACTAAATTAATCACTTTACTTCATCACCTGCACCACTATGGCAGTAAAGATCAGATATCAGTCTGCAGGCACCATTATTGACTGTATAGGTACTATGTTGAGATCCTGTAGTCCAGTCAATGTACACTGAAAGATGTCAGATACCTGTATACTGGGGGGGGGGGTGGAATTTTGTAGAGTTGGGAAGACTCCGCAGACCTTTAAAAGAAAGGGACTCAGTTACAGAAATCCCACTTCCATTTCAAACTTTCTACTTTTGCAGGTAAGATAAGGGGGGGAAGGGCATAATTCACATGGACCAAACTCAACTGAGCCATTTGAACTCAATGCTGAGTTCAAACATACATCATTTTGGCTGGAACAAGGGCCATGACCAACAGGAAGGGAGTCACGAATTGTTGGAGTTGACCTAATTGAAGGATAGGTAAGGTTTGTAAAACTCCCATGACTGAAGATTTTTACATGCTTAGCTCTTTAATCTTAAAAAATAAACAGACTGCAGCTGTCATATTCTTGGTTAAAACAAAATCCTCTGTTGGACTGCTTTGATATGTTAGAATAATAAGTAGTATCTTCTCATATAGGTTCTCTGTTTAAATTTTCTCAAGGGTGTGTTTCAAAAGCTCCAATTATCTCAGCAAAGACGTGTGAGTTCACATTTTGATTGAAACCTTAAAGAGGCTTTTAAAAGATAAGCTGTCATTGCAGCGATGTCTGAATATACATTTATTTTTATGAGAATTATTTGCTTGATATTTAAAAGACTCCAATGGACTTGATGAATGGGATTTTTATCACTGTCAAATTTAAAGAAGTGAGAGTTATATTAGGTTGTTAGATTTTTTTTATTTCCTCTCCACATGGACCCCAACATCTGCTTATAGTGGATGCTGGGTAAGTGGCTATGAGGTGGTGTGGTGAGTGTGAGGTAGTTGAATGGGGAGCATGGGTTACCATTAATATGGATAGTATGAGGGATCATACGGTGGTGAGTGGCATGGGTTGGCATGGAATGTACGGGGGCCATGAGGGGGTGACTGTAAGCGTGAGTTGGCATACAAATT